ACCAGCCTGGCCAACATGGTGAAACCCTGTCTCTACTAAAAATACAAAAATTAGCCGGGCGTGGTGGCAGGCACCTGTAATCCCAGCTACTTGGGAGGCTGAGGCAGAAGAATTGCTTGAACCCAGGAGGTGGAGGTTGCAGTGAGCCGAGATCGCGCCACTGCACTCCAGCCTGGAGGATAAGAGTGAGATTTCGTCTCAAAAAAAAAAAAAAGTTGGTCCTTTGGGCGGAAAAAAAAAATGCAGCAGAGAATTTTGGAATGTTGTTCTTCACCCAGATTTCCGAAAATGTTAACGTTTTACTACATTTGCTTTGTCTTTTTTTTTTTTTTTTTGAGACAGAGTTTTGCTCTTGTTGCCCAGACTGGCGTGCAGTGGCGCGATCTTGGCTCATCGTGGCCTCCGTCTCCCTGGTTCAAGCGATTCTCCTGCCTCAGCCTCCCGAGTAGCTGGGATTACAGGCATATGCTACCACGCCTGGCTAATTGTGTATTTTTAATAGAAACGGGGTTTCTCCATGTTGGTCAGGCTGGTCCGCCTGCCTTGGTCTCCCAAAGTGCTGGGATTACAGGTGTGAGCTACTGCACCTGGCTGTCCCTTTTTTTTTTTTTCTTTTTTTTCGAGAGAGGGTTTTGTTCTATCACCCAGGGTGGAGTGCAGTGGCACAATCACAGCTCACTGTAGCCTCAATCGCCCGGGCTCAATAGAGCCTCCCATCTCAGCCTCCCAAGTAGCTGGGACTACAGGTGCATGCCACCAAGCCCAGCTATCTTTTTGTAGAGATGGGGTTTTGCCATGTTGCCCAGGTTGGTCTCAAACTCCTAGGGTCAAGCAATCCTCCTGCCTTCATTTCCCAAAGTGCTGGTATTATAGGTGTGAGCCACTACACTGGCCATCCTTTTAACTCTTTCTTTGTGTGTGTGTCTGTGTGTGTATGTGTCTTGTGTGTGTGTTTGTGCTTGTGTCTTTTTTTCTGAACTAAGAGTAAATTGCTGTCGTGATGCCTCCTTAATCCTAAATACTTGAGAGTGTGTGTGTGTGTTTGTGTTTAAAAAAAAAAAGTTGTTTTGTGTAGCCACAGCACAGTGATCAAAGTCAGGGAGTTAATGTTTGTAACAATACCATTATCTAATCTTCAGTCCTTATTCATATTTCACCAATTGTCCCGATATGTCCTCGATAATGAAAGAAAGTCCCAGATCCTGTGTTGTATTCAGTTGTCACATCTCTCCTCTCCTTTAATCTGGAACTGTTCTCAGTGTTCTCTTTGTGCGTCAGAGTACATACTGTTTAGAGCTGAGTTTTAAAAAATTGTACATATGAAACATTTTTCCATATTGAGAGAGATTGAAAGCAGTATATCCCAGTGATTAAGTCAGGGCTCTGGAGCCAGAATACTTGGTTTCCAATCCTGATTTCACTACTTAATGCCTGTGTTATCCTGGGCAAGTTTTTTTACCTGTGAAATGAGGAGTACTGATACTACCTCATAGGATTGTGAGAATTAAATGCAAAAGTGCTCATTACTGAGTTCAGTACCTGGCACAGACTAAGTGCTCAGTAAACGCTAGCTATTATTCACACCATTCAGTGGACTCCTAAGGGACATGTTGCAAACATCTTAGTTCTGTTCTCTCTTCCTCTGCCCTCCTCCCTTTCTTTTCTTCACGTCTGGGTTCCAGAAAGCAAATGGTCCGCTTACTAGAAAATGGTATGGTTTGAGATGGAAAACACTGCCCTGAAAGAGCTGGTGTGTGAGCGCCTGTTGTTTGGTGACAGTTCTCACTGGTGCAAGAATCATGACAGTAAAGTTCTTTTTCTTAAGTGCTAAATGTATTCCATTGTTTCATTATGAAATTACATGGTTCTTATCTTTTGGTGTTAAAATGTCCTTTTGTAAAATGATGTTTATTACAGATGATTGTTCTGTCATTATTGTATTTTAATATTTTTAGTAGGCAATAAAAAGAAACCAAATCTAATACTCTCCAAAATATTTTTGGAAATACTAATGGTTAATGACAGCCAGTGGTCTGGGAATTCATGCTTTAAAAGATGTTTGTTTGGCTTTGTGTTTATGTGTATATGAGTACCTGTGAACGATATTTGTGTCCAGAAATGCACTAGTCACTGATTGAATGTTTATTGACTCCCCCTTGAATGCCAGACATTGTACTAAATGCTTTGCATATCTCATTTCATCTTCATAATGAACCCTGTGAGCTTTGTATTGTTCTGTTTACAGTGAGGAAATAGAGTCTCGAAGAGGTGATGTAATCCACCCAAGGTTACACAGCTGTGAATGACATAACTGCAGTTAGAACTCAGGTCTCCCTAATTACAGAGGCCATTTGGAATTTTAGCCTAGCATCCATAAATCCACAAGCTAATGGGTGTCTTTTCCATCAAAATATGCTGGAGATACAGTTATCCTGTAGAGGTCTTCAAAAAACACTTTTTAAAAAGTAGTCTTATAGTACAAAAAGTTGAAAACATTTCTCCACCCTTTGAACGACAATCCTTTGGACGATAAGACAGGTGAGAGTTTATCCTTTCTGGTGACTCTTAAATTAGGAATAAAACTGCCACCTTGTCTGAACCAGTGTGATTCTTCAATCTTTGGTTCTAACTTACAGACTGCTTTCTAGGGGAAAACAAAATTGCTTCTGTGTGAAATTAGTGGTTATCCAAGAAATGCTTCCAAGAACTCTTGACTAGGAGTAGAAAATAAGATGGCATTTAGTGACTTACACTAATGTGAGGTTAAAAGTTGAAGGCCAGCTCGTGCTGCCGAAGCAGACAGATTCTCTCTAGTTGCAAAGCTGTGGGGCTCCCTATCTGGTGCAGCATTTCTTCAATTTGGTTGCACATCACAGCCTTCTGTGGTGCTTCTTAAAAATACTTAATCCTGGCTGGGTGCGGTGGCTCATGCTTGTAATCCTAGCACTTTGGGAGGCTGAGGCGGGTGGATCATGAGATCAGGAGTTCTAGAGCAGCCTGAGCAACATGGTGAAACCCTGTCTCTACTAAAAATACAAAAATTAGCTGGGCATGGTGGTGAGTGCCTGTAATCCCAGCTACCTCATAAGGCTGAGGCAGGAGAATCGCTTGAACCCAGGAGGTGGAGGTTGCAGTGAGCCAAGATCGCACCACTGCACTGCAGCCTAGGTGACAGAGCGAGACACCATCTCAAAAAAACAAACAGCAACAACAACAAAAATCCTGCACCCCACTCTAGCCCTACTGAATGAGACAGTTGGACTGAGGGACCCACGTATATGTCCAGTTAACAAGCTCCTTCAGGTGATCCCAAGGCCCAGCATGCCTCTGGCTGTCACCTGGAACTGGGTCCACACCAGCCTTGAGAAGAGTAAGGCACCCTTAGGCTAGCGATTGCTGTCGCTTTATTATTTGTTTATTTTCTAAGCAAGCTAACATAGGAGGCTGCTATCTCTTTAAAGTTGCAACTTAAACTTCTAATCAGGGTTACTGGAGGTGATGAGTGAAGCAAGCCTTGGGCTCATCAGAGCTCCACAGGGCATTTTTAATCCCTTTTCCTTAATTGTCACTGAAATTATGAGCATTCTCTGAGATGCCAGTTGCTGTAAACTGCTTGATAACGTGTTCACCGTTTCCTTGTTCTAAATGGTAGTTGTTGAAGAGTAACTTTATGCCAGTTCAATCATCCACTGATGTGATGCCTTTCTGTGTCCTGTATGAATTCTGCCAGTGGCATAAGAGGACAGCAGAGGAGCCGCGCTGCAGCCTCGGACTCCTGGCTGTGGCCCATGGAGTGCAGGGCCGTGGGTGCTGCCTCGCCTCACGGCAGCCTCTTCGCACAAGCTGTGATTCTGACTCATCTTTTTCCAGTATCTTGAGTGTGCCGCCCTCATGCTGCTTGTGCCTCAGATCTTTTGGTGGACTCCCTCTAATTACTTGAGTCTCAGCTCAGATACTGCCTCCTCGGGGAGAGGTTCCCTCGCCAGTCCCTTGTATTACCTATTTTATTTTCCTCGTAGCATTTATCACTATCTGAAATCATTTTATTTGCTTGTTTGTTTGTCTCTTCCGCTCTGATCTTGATTCCATTCCTGTCTGTCTTGTTTCTCTTTGGACCCTCAGCATCTGGAACAGTACCTGGCTTGTAGTAGGTGTTCACTGTATTAAAGGAGGGAAGGGTTTGAGGTCGGTACCCTCGCCTGCCTGTCCCACAGGGCAGAGCTGAGCTGAACTTGTATAGGTGCCTCTTGCTGATGGCTTAGAACTGCGGCTGTTTCCTGGAGCAGAGTTTAATACCCTCACGCCCGATGATTTTCTAAATCTCATTCTGCAGCGCCGCCGTGGAGCATCTTCCCTGCCTATGTGTTGTAGGTTAGAATGAGAACAGTTATTTGGGAATATGACCCATAAGGCTCAGTTAGAGGGCATATGATCCCTTTGGATTAGAGTGAGTTTCATAGTCTCTCAAGTGGCAGGATTTTGGTCTTCTGGGCAGGAGCTGTTTCCTGAGATCCTGGATAGTGAAGGATGTCTTGAATTTGGAAGAATTTAGCCCTGTTTGTCTCTTCTTTCCCCTTGCTATAGAAATACAGTAGGCTGGGTACAGACAAACTTGAGACTGACTCCCAGAGACATAAGTGGGGCGTGCCTGGACAGCGTACTGCTATGTGTTTTATAAAGCGCCTTCCACAAGCTTCAGGACCCTCTCTGGGCTAGAGCGGTCTTCCTGGGGGAGCCCTTTGAGAATCTGATACAGTAACAGACCCTCTCCTCAGAAAAATGTGCAAGCGCCTGTGCATATGGTTTTGCCTGTCATCTTGAGGGCACAGATGCTTCACGGATGCCCTTCAGGGACCCTCAAATTCTGTTTGGGGATTTCAGTTGGTTTGTTCATCCATCACAGCTGGGTCATAGCTCTTCTGTGGCTGTGTCTTTCTGACTTGGTCTCCTGTCTTCTGTGCCCTCTCTTGTTTTTATCATAACCTGCTGGACCCTCTCAGGCCCAGAAGAGGCGGTATTCTCCAGGAGTCCAGGTACTCAGTTCTTGGTTCATCATGAGCATCCCTCATTCCCATGTGTCCATCCAACGTTTGTTGCTGTTTCAAGTCCATGTGGTTGTCCCGGGAGTCCCCGGTCTCTGGTCTCACTGCGTCTCCACCTTGCATGTTGACCATGTGGGACAAAGGGATAAATACTCACCAAAGGAGTGGCATGCCTCATGTTACCCCTTCACCACCTCACACCCTGCCTGTCTGCACTGCCTTGGCATTGGGCTTGTTCTGGAATGATGAGTTTGCCATTTCTAAGGAAGAATTGCTCCTACAACTCTACTGGGGAGAGAGGGCCTGTGAAATAGACGGGAAAATGAGTGGTTTATGGGGAAATTTGCAGTTTTCTCCCCGTTAAGGGAGAACCTTGCCCTCTTATTATGATTGGGAGAAGTGATGTGTGGAGGAGGCTTAAGTGGGCTGGAAAGTCTTTTGACTAAGGGCAGTCATGGTGGCTGGCTGAGCCCATCCAGCAACCCCGTTCCATGTTCTTTCTGAGCTCTAGTCCATTTAGCCTCATATGCTTGTAGAATTTTAGAATTGAAAAGAGCTATCTGAATGGAAAGATTCCCCTGCTCAAACAGGTATTTTCAGAATACCCGCTGTGTGCAGAACTGTGGTTGGGAGGAGATGGGGCTGAAGTTTAGACATATGAAGGCATGTGATGAGTGAATTTTTTTCTTCAAGAATCTTATGTGGCAGTTGGGGAGATAGGTACATATACATGAAAAGGAAACCCCTAGTATTAGCACATAAGTGCCAAATGGTGACCTTGGGACATTCAAGTCAGACTCCAGCGTTTTAGGGGGGCCATTTCAGGCCCACCCCAGTTCAGGAGCCAAGAGAATTACTGAAGACAACAACCAAGTGTAGTCGCTTCCTGGGCTGTTTCCCTTGAGAGACCATCTGAATGTGGGCTCTCAGGGGCTGCTGACAATGAAGTTGAGTGGCTGCCTGTTCTGCTGTAAGGGACTCAACTTGTGTGTGCAGAATTCATGTTGCTGTTTGTGCAGGTGTTCCTACGTGCTCTTCCTTAGCGTCTGCTTACCCCCTCTGCTTCCCAGCGGGTATTCCCCTACATCTCAGCCATGGTGAACAACGGCTCCCTCAGCTACGATCACGAGCGGGATGGGCGGCCTACAGAGCTGGGAGGCTGCACAGCCATTGTCCGCAATCTTCATTACGACACCTTCCTGGTGATTCGCTATGTCAAGAGGCATTTGACGGTGAGTCCTTGTCCTGGACGGGATGGTGGTGTGGACTGTGTCGCCCTTGCTTCCATGGCCTGACCCTGATTTATCTCTCCTTTTATTCTAGATAATGATGGATATTGATGGCAAGCATGAGTGGAGGGACTGCATTGAAGTGCCCGGAGTCCGCCTGCCCCGTGGCTACTACTTCGGCACCTCCTCCATCACTGGGGATCTCTCAGGTACTGCCACACGCACTCTTGGTTTGCCCTGACTGAGGCCTGTTCTCAATACCCATGCCTTGTTGAGGCCTCTCACAGGGGAGAGCCAGAGGAGCAGTGCTGTGGAAGGAGATGCCTCAAGACTGCTTCTCTTTCTACATTCTTATATCCACATTCCTTAAAAAACCCAGGCCAGGCTTTCCTAGTACAGTGGTCACTAGAAGATGGTTGGTGCTAATAGAAAGCAACGTTTGTCCCTTCATTAAGCTGGCTCTTCTAGCCTGTATCCTGAGTTCCTTGCTGTCTAATTTCTGCTGTCAGGCTCCTCTCCTTCCACCCGCTAATGTTCCCTGTTCCCCTTCCTTAACAAAGCTTTTCCTTGACTCTGCCGTCCCTCTTCTTACCCCAGACTGTCCTTTTGCTGAGACTTTTGAATGTTTGTGTACAGATGCTTTTGTTTCCTAGCTGTCCACCTCCTTAACATGCTGACTCAGACCTGTGCTCTACCTTGCTATTACACTAACACCATTCTCATGAAAGGTCATTCTGTTTCCTTGGCATATTCATTGCTCTGTTCTCATTCTCACCCTTTGTCCTCCTCAGCTCATTTAACCCATTACTCTGAAACTCTTGCCTTCTTGACTTACGTGACATTAATAGCACCTGGCTCTTTTACTTTTCCATCTCCTTTTGTTTCTTTTTCTGCTTATGCCTGATTCTTAGCTTCTCATTTATACACTTACTCTCTTTGCTTTAGCCCCAGTCATAACATCTTTTGGGAAGAGAAAAGGAACTGAACTTCTGTTTCTTTTGATTAATATAGTTTGTTCTGGATAAAGCTAGTTTGGAATAGAAGTTTCTTGTGGCAAAATGGAAAGGCAGATACCCATCTGAAACAGCCGACAGCTAGTGCAGCTAGTGAGCTCCAGCCATTGTAGCTAAAAGGAAGTGTCAGCTCAGTGAGGCCAAATCTTCCAGTTTTTCAAGAGAAGCTGGAAATCTGGATTTTTTTTTTTTTTTGTGACGGAGTCTCCCTCTGTCGCCCAGGCTGGAGTGCAGTGGCCGGATCTCAGCTCACTGCAAGCTCCGCCTCCCGGGTTTACGCCGTTCTCCTGCCTCAGCCTCCCGAGTAGCCGGGACTACAGGCGCCGCCACCTCGCCTGGCTAGTTTTTTTGTATTTTTAGTAGAGACAGGGTTTCACCATGTTAGCCAGGATGGTCTCGATCTCCTGACCTCGTGATCCACCCGTGTCGGCCTCCCAAAGTGCTAGGATTATGGGCTTGAGCCACCACGCCAGGTGTTTTTTTTTTTTTTTTTTATATACGGAGTCTCGCTCTGTCACCAGGCTAGGGTGTAGTGCTGCCATCTTGGCTCACTGCAACCTCCACCTTCTGGATTCAAGCGATTCTCCTGCATCAGCCTCCCAAGTAGCTGGGACTACAGGCGCACACTACCACACCCAGCTAATTTTTGTATTTTTAGTAGAAACGGGGTTTCACCATGTTGGCCAGAATGGTCTCCATCTTGACCTCGTGATCTGCCCGCCTTGGCTTCCGAAAGTGCTAGGATTACAGGCATGAGCCACCGAGCCCAGCCTGGAAATTGGATTTTTAAAATGCAATCTGCTGGTCTTTAAAACTCTGGCATCTGATTTTTTTCTTTAATCAACTTTATTGAGGTGTGCTTTCCATACAACAGAAAAATACAGTTTGAAGAGTTTTGACAAGTATTTACACCTATGTAGTCACCATCACAAATGAGATATGAATGTTTTCATCATCTGCCGAAAGCCTTATTATCTATCCCCCTTTGCAGTACTCCCCGCCGCCTCAGATTCCAGGCAACCACTGATCTGCTTTCTGTCACGTAGGGAGATTGGTTTTGGCAGTTAGGTTCTAAGTACTGAGCAGGCCAGACCTGTGGGAAGAATCTAGCCTTGGCAGGGGGTAGGAGGCACAGGCTGGAGATCTTTGCTATGTAATCTCATTATATGACTACACATTTTCCTTTGAGCTTACAGGTTTCTGGGTTAACCTCCTGAAGTACTTTTTTAATGGAAAGTCTCCAACTGTCAGAAGTGGCAGGAGAGAATAACTTTTTGTCTATTCTAAGTTTTTTGCCCTAGGTCTTTAGTGAGAACACCCAAGTTAGTAAGTCGGTGTTCTCTGCCCATAGAGTATCCCTCAATGCAAGCTGTTTCTTTCCTTTGAGGTCTTTCTTGTTGCCATCCTCTCACTTGTTGTGTAGTGGGTTGTTGAAAACTGCTGAGAAAGTTAGGATGTTTCCCCGCTGTTCCAGGCTTTAATGCCCTGCATTGCGTGAGGAACATTGCCGTGGCCTTTTATCCTGTCCCATGGTTTAAACTGAGACAGTTTAAACTCTGACAGTTAACATTTTTCCAACGAAAATGAATCCAGTTTTTCACTACCTAGGAATCTGCTAAAGATTCTAGCAGTCCAAGCAGCTGTGGATGCTCTCCTAATAACGTAAATGACCAGAAGTCCAGGCCCCAGTCAATAACCAACCCAGTAGCCATGAGCACCCTAGCACTCAGATTTGTGGTCTCTATATACCAATTCCCACTAAAAGGAACTGCAGCTTCCTTGAGAAATGGCTGATGCAAGTTTCGAGGTAGGAAATCTGTAAGTTGGAACTTCCCAGAAAAGCAAGGAAGTTATAAAAAATTCTGGGTTTACGCAGGAAGGGGAACATCACACACCAGGGCCTGTCGTGGGGTTGGGGGAGCAGGGAGGGATAGCATTAGGAGATATACCTAATGTAAATGATGAGTTAATGGGTACAGCACACCAACATGGCACATGTATACATATATAACAAACCTGCACGTTGTGCACATGTACCCTAAAACTTATAAGTATGATTAAAAAAAAAAAAAAGTATTGAAAAAAAAAAACCTTCTGGGTTTATGTAAAGAGACTCAGGAGCCAATAGGCTCCTACTGGACAAAGACAGGTGAGTTGAGCATCAGTAACAGTCTTAACTTTAGTGCATTGCAACACATCAGATATGGTTAAATGTAGGAGTTTATAATGATACTTTAAAGAGAGAAATCTAGTCCCTAATTGCTTGATCTTCTCTCTGGTAATTATTAGGGAAATTAAGAGTCACCGTTACAAGAAGCCACAGAGAAACAGGCACCACCCAGAAGGGCAGTGTATCCCATGCCCATAGCTGTGCCCTGCCCGTGGCCCATTAAACAGCGGCCATGAGACCCTATCCTGTGGCACGTGTGTGTGCACGTGTGTGCGCTCTTCACCAGCGGGGTAGCTGCAGTCCTACTGCGTTTCCTCTTACTGTGCTGGAAGGTTTAACATTTGGGATTTAATTCTTGTTTTATCTCTAAATTTTTCCATTATACACACATGCTTCTTGACGTACAATGGTGTATGTCCCAATAAACTCATTGTAGGTTGTAGATATTCTAAGTGGAAAATGCATTCAATATACCTACCCTACTGCACATCATAGCTTAGCCTAGTCTACCTTAAATGTGCTTAGAACATTTACATTAGCCTACAGTTGGGCAAAATCATCTAACACAAAGTCTGTTTTGTAACCAAGTGTTGAATGTCTGATGTGACGTATGGAATACGGTACACGATGTAGTGCCGGTTGTTTACCCTTGTGATCGTGTGGCTCACTGGGTGCTACAGCTCACTGCTGCTGCCCAGCCTCAGTACAGAGTGTCGTACTACACATCGCTAGCCCAGGAAAAGATCAAATCTCAAAATTTGAAGTGTGGTTTCTGTGGAGCGCAGATTCCTTTCACACCATCATAAAGTTGGCAAATTGTAAGTCGAACCATTTTAAGTCAGGGATCTTCTATACAGGTAATGCATGCTTGTTGATTAAAACCTTAAATACAGAAGAATACAGAATATGCCTTGTTCCCCATCCTTATTTTTAGTTGCAAAATGGAGAGGTTTCAATTATTTTTTCAAGGTCACTGCTGGTTAGCTGTGGATCAGAGGCTTGAACTAAGACACTGACTCAAGAAACATACCTCTTTTTCAAGTGGCTCAAGTCATCCTTCTTCCATTTTTCTTCAGATAATCATGATGTCATTTCCCTGAAGCTGTTTGAGCTGACGGTGGAGAGAACCCCAGAAGAGGAAAAGCTGCATCGAGACGTGTTCTTGCCCTCCGTGGACAACATGAAGCTGCCCGAGAGTGAGCACGGGGCCCCCAGGAAACGGCCCATAGCTGGGGAGGAGCTTGCAGTGCTGCACGGCTTCGGAGGGGACTTGCACCCGTAGCTCACAAGGCAGTCTCTGCTCTGTGTATTCCTCTGAGGGGTAGGAGCACGTGCATCTGCTTTTCCCCTTCAAGTTACAGATGAGCAGCTGGAGGGCCGCTTTGTTTCTCAGTTGGAAAGCGGGGGTCTAAGCTCGGGCTTCCCAGAAACAGATGTCAGAAATGGGGGGCCGCACAGCCTGTACTTTGATCTTTCCCTACTGGGTGGGCTCCCTGTTTTCTGACTTGCTTCTCTCTTGCTTCCTTAGTGACAGCTCCACTGCCGCCCCTGAGTGGCCTGGCCCTCTTCCTCATCGTCTTTTTCTCCCTGGTGTTTTCTGTGTTTGCCATAGTCATTGGTATCATACTCTACAACAAATGGCAGGAACAGAGCCGAAAGCGCTTCTACTGAGCCCTCCTGCTGCCACTTCTGTGACTGTCACCCGTGAGGTATGGAGGGAGCAGACACTGGCCTGAGCGTGCAGCCTGGAGGGCCTTCTCGTCTCTAGCAGCTGGTTAGGGACTATATTCTGTCACTGGAGTTTTGAATGCAGGGACCCCGCATTCCCATGGTTGTGCATGGGGACATCTAACTCTGGTCTGGGAAGCACCCACCCCAGGCAATGCTGCTGTGATGTGCCTTTCCCTGCAGTCCTTCCACGTGGGAGCAGAGGCGTGAAGAGAATGTATGCGGTTGTGATGCCAAAATCACAGAACGGAATTTCGTAGCCCAGGCCGCCTTGTTGTTTGACTCAGAGAGCCCTTCTGCTTCATTTTTGAATCCACAAAGAATTAAAAGCTGGTAACACCACATACTTTCTGACCATCCATTCACTGGGTTTTGCATTTTACCCAACCCTCTGCCTACCTGAGGAGCTTTCTTTGGAAACCAGGATGGAAACTTCTTCCCTGCCTCACCTTCCTTTCACTCCATTCATTGTCCTCTCTCTGTGCTACCTGAGCCGCGAAGGCATTTGGACGCCTCTCTGTTGGGGCCGGGGGCTGCAGAACGCACCTGCGTTTCACGGGCTTCATTAGCGGCCCTAGGGAGAGGGCTTTCTGCTTTGGATCCCTGTTCCAGCTCCTGTTCTCTAGCACGGGCCCTGGGTCTGTCGACTTCCCCCATCAAGTCTCTTCAGGCCCTCAGTCAAGTTTGACTAAAAGTTGGTGTAAAAATCCAGAGAAGCCTGGAAGACATCATAGATGCCGTGGATTAACTGTGAAACTGACCAACTCCAGGTTTGATACCAAAAGCAATATTTGTCATGTGCTCTGACCATGTGGAGATATTTCTGGACTTGCTAGAGCCTGCTTAGCTGCATGTTTTGTAGTTACGATTTTTGGAATCCCACTTTGAGTGTCGAAAGTGTAAGGAAGCTTTCTTCTTATATCTTGGGCTTGGATACTGCCCAGAGAAGAAATTTGGCTTTTTTTCTTTCTTAATGGACAAGAAACACTTGCTGTTCTCATGTTCCAACTCTGAGAGCAAGAGACCCTCATCATCTGTGCCTGGAAGAGTTCATTGTCACTGAGCAGCACAGCCTGAGCGCTGTCCTCTGCGTGTCAACCCGTATTCCACTGCCTTATCTGACAAGGGGTCACATGCTGCTCACCTTACTGCCCTGGGATTACATCAGTTACAGGCCAGAGTCTCCTTGGAGGGCCTGGAACTCAGTCCTCCTATGAACCTCTGTAGCCTAAGTGAAATTCTTAAAATCGCCGATGGAACCAAACATGAGCTTCTGACTATGTTCTTTCTTCTAGGAGTGGGTCTGGGGAACAGTCAGGCCTTTATTCTGAGCAGGCCTTTTTTCTGAGCTTCAAGCCCATCAACCATTGTTTTGCCTTCTCCTGGGTTGGAAAAGCCCTCAGCTCAGCTCAGAAGGAAAGGGGGTCACCTTGGCTAGGCATAGGTCTCTGTCTCTTCAGGCTCTTTCCTTCCCATGCACTTAGTTAAGCAGCACAGGCGGGAGTGCTCTCCTGCAGGTGGGACTCAGGTGAGGCAGAGACGAGGCATCCTCCTACCACCTCCCCTCCACAATAGCAGAATGGCTCCAGGGTGCCAGAGGACAAACTGTGACCTAGAGCTTGGCCTTGGAACAGGGAGAACTGCAAAAGACAATGGTGGTTTTGTCTTTTTTGAGTTGAAGGGGAGATTGTATGGACCCATGGGAGGACCTAGGTAGGCTCTTGATATGGCCAAGGCAGCAGTGCAGGTGGAAGGGGTCTCATCAGAGGGGAGGGGTGGAGTGAGAAAGATGGCGCCTGTGGGGTTTGTATGATTCCAGCTCATGAGTACCTTAAGGCTTTTTAAAGAGGTCAGGGAAGACATGAAATCCAGTCCCCACCTGCCTTGGGGGCCTTTAGAGAAATGTATGGTGCAGGAAAACCACCTGACCTGGCATCGGATGTCCTGCTTTGGCTCTTGCTTTTTGTTCTAGAAACAAATGTTTCCCATCATGAATGGGCAGAATGTTGTCCTGGGCAGTGTCATCCTAGCTGTGTGCTAGAGGAGGGAGCTGCCTGGTCCGTGGTAGGGCTGTTCTGTACATGCTGTGGGTGAGAGCCAGTGCCTCGGCTTGCTGCTTACCCATAAGGGCCACTTCTCACAATCACCCTTTCCCTCCATACTAAGAGGCTCCGATTCCAAGCCTCTTAGTATGAGAGACCCTGTGGACTAGGGGTGGGACATAAAGATGACGTCACTCCCTGTCCCTGTGAGTCTTGTCTGAAGGGCTGGCATTTTCAGCCTTTCATGTTGTCTTCAGCACCCCCAAATTACAAGATGGCTCTCTGTTACAGAACTTGTTTATTTCAGTGGAAAATTATAGCTCTGCTCTTCTTGTTGGAAGTGATTTCTGAACACAATAGCCAGAATATTCCTAGCACCTTGCATCTATCCTAGAAGACAGAAACAAAGAACTGGTAGGCGGCCCAAGGGGAGGGCTGTTGGTAGAGGAGGAAAGCCGGGCAGCGTGGGCTAATTAGTCTTCTGGGGCTGGAAGTTCTGGGAAAATGTTACTCAGATGATTGGTAGGTCCTGGATGGAGTTTCCACTCATGGTCTATTGTAGGCTTTAGGTTTGGATCCTGGGTGGGAAGGATGGAAGAGCTGGCATTGCTGGTGTTTAGTGAAGTGATGATATTGAATATTTTAATGGGAGGATATAGCTGAAGTTGAGGTTTGATCCAGCTCATGGCCAAATAGTGCTAGAGAGAACAGACAACAGTTAGCCTGGGGTGGGGAGCTGAAGACGCTCTCCCCAGAGTCATCCTGAGACCACCTCTGTCCTTGCCTGCAGGGCTGCCACTCACCGGAGCTGAATAGATAAAGTTGAACAGCAAAAGTGCTAGAATCGATACGACCATAAAGGCTATGAGTTTGAAGCGATAGCGTTTCCAGAAAACAGAACAGAAGTGTTGAGCTGGTGACCGCAACCACATGAAAGAGGTGTAGGGGCGTCTGTCCAGGAGCCAGGGAAATGGCAGAGAATGGCAGAGAGAACCTTCAGGTCAAGCAATCTGATGCAAAGAGCTTTCTTTTTTTAAAAAAGCAACTTCTGGGCTAGGCGCAGTGGCTCACGCCTGTAATCCCAACAGTTTGGGAGGCCGAGGTGAGTGGATCACCTGAGGTCAGGAGTTTGAGACCAGCCTGGCTAACATGGTGAAACCCCGTCTACTAAAAATACAAAAATTAGCTGGGCATGGTGGCAGGCCCCTATAATCCCAGCTACTCAGGAGGCTGAGGCAGGAGAATCGCTTGAACCCAGGAGGCAGAGATTGCAGCGAGCAGAGACTGTGCCACCACACTCCAGCCTGGGTGACAGAGTGAGACAATTATCTCAAAAAAAAAAAAAAAACCAAAAAACCAACTTCTGCTTACCCCAACTCTCACCCCAAGTCTGTTCTTTGCTGATTGAGCACAGAACTGTGGGGTGGGAGGTAGTTACCACCTCTGCACGGTAGGCCCACTGGTCACCACCCCACACACACGGAGGAGCAAGACGGATCTGGTGCTTTTGCCCCAAGGACCCTTACAGGGGAGGGTGAAGTGTAGGGTACTGGTTGGGTTCTGACTGGCCTCGCCCGGCTGGCTTGATTAAGGCTTCCTTCTCTGACAGAATCTCCAGGCTCATCTTCACCTTGCCCTAGGAACACCATGGTGAGGGGGAGGCTGAGTTCAGACAGCCGAGCCGGGTAGTTTTAGGGCCTCTTCCCGGGATCAAGAAAGGAAAAGGGATTTAGCTAGGTCCCTAGATGTCTGCTAGAGCCAGGACATGCGGCACAGCAGTCCTAACCAGTAGACACTTTCCCCAGCTCCTACCGACAAGCGCCATTTGCCACCATCGAGGACCTGGCAAGGCCACCAGCCAGTCACAGTCTTCTTCTTAAAGAGGGAGAAGTGCTTGTATTGGAGGAAATAGGGCCACTTGGGGTCAGCGTCCATCATCCTGATGGAGCACTGCTGGGCGTGCCGAGCCGGGAGAGGCATGTCAGACAAATCCAACTCCAGGACCCCTGAGCCCAGAAAAATGACATCAGCAAGAAGGAGCTCTCTGTCCTGTGGTCACAAGCCCTGTGTCAGGACCTCACCTAGGAAGTCGTCGGGGGAGAAGATGTCATTGTCCCAGACCTGGATGATAAGTCGGGCTGGGAACTTCATGGACGTGGCATCCAGGCTCCATATGTAATCCTGGGGCAATGGCAGAAGAGCATGTTGCCGGCCTGTCTCCTGGACGTTTCCCTTGCACCCCTCAGTGGCCCTCCACCCAGCAGTGACAGACTATCAGGGGAGAGGGTTTCCACCTGAGGACATGTTTCTGATGTTCTGGGACAGATGGCGAGCCTCTGGAGGGGTAAGGGGAGGAGCTCCAGGAGCCTGAGTCTGTTCGTGTGTGGCCTTTCGCCCCCCCATGCCCCCACGCCCCAGTCTGTTACCTTCTGACTCTGGACACACACGCACTCCGCCGCCAGGTAGTCCATGGTAAAGATGAACCGCCAGTTGAAGTTCGCCTCCCCAGTCAGCGAGTGGTAGTGGATATCTGTCTTCTGCATGTCCTTCTCCAGCCCATACAGCCACCTGGGGCCAGAGTCCTGTCACCTGCGGCTCAGGTGCACTGTCCCCATCCCCCGCTGCAGCCCGTGGGAAGGGCGGCCCAGCCGACACCAGGCCCAGCCGGAAGTGGAGAGGTGTCCCATTCAGGACTGGGCCGTGTCAGCAGGATGACAGAACTGGGGAACTGAGGGGCTCGCCGGAGCCTGACTCCTCTTCCTTACCCTTTGATGTAGATGTCGCTCGTCTTCTCTCTACTTAAATTGTCATCCACCAGGTCCACATTGGCGGTTTTCCAGATGACGCAGCGCAGCTCATACCTGTGGCCACTGCGCTCTGAGGCTTTGCCAAGGAGGAGCTCCCCAGCCGCAGCCTCGGTGAGGGTGGAGAGGCCTGCGAGGCCGCCCTGTGTGCTCTTGCTCAGTATGGGGAATTCAGGGCAAGAAAGCTCCCAGGAGAGCTTCCTCCCTTCCCGGCAGAGAAACAAATGACTGCAGCTCAGTACCTGAGGAGAGTGGTGCCCTGCACTGGGGGGAGGCTGAACTGTGAAATGCAGCAATTGGGAAGTGGGCTGTCACTCACCGTTTAGGCTTTCTGGGGTTGATGTTGACTGGGGGGCCAGGAGGTCCCAGCTTCTTGGGGAAGATGTCCACCCACATTTGCACCTTTCCCTAGAGCCAGGATACATTGGCTGGTTGGGGGTTGCTAGCCTCTGTTCTCAGCAGGCTGGCCTGGGGTTCCCTGTCCCAGGTTCTGAGGTCTGTTGAGGTGGTGTTCCCAACACCAAGGGGTAGGGCACAGAGATATCTGTGAGGCCGCAGGCGACCACCCACCAGCTTCCCCCTTTCTTTCGACGGAGAGAGTAGCGCAGTGAGATTGGAACACGCTAACTTTGGGGCTGACGGCATGGTGCTGGGATTCCACTTACAACAGGTCTGGAGGGGGAATGCCACTCCCTCGGTCATGCTAGATGGCCTGTCTGGACTGGACTCCAGATCGGGGTTGGGGCTTCATTTACCAAGCAGCTTGGTGTTGCTTGATAGCCTCGAGTATGAGGAAACCAGTCCAGACTTTCAGGTCATTTTGTGTTACGAACTACAACCTAAGGGGATTAAGCTAGCCACACATACAGAGGAACGAAGGTAAGGGATGAAAAGGGGGAGAAAAGGAAAGAAAAAGGACAGAACTGCTAACATGGACAACACACAAATACGTTCTGCCTTTCAGACTATCTGACCTAATTATATTCTTTTGAAGTGACCCATTTGAGAAAACAGGTTTAACGAGAATGGTTTTTTATTTTATATGTTTTTTGAGACAGTTTCCCTCTGTCACCCAGGCTGTAGTGCAGTGGCACAATCTCAGCTCACTGCAGCCTCTGCCTCTCAGGCTCAAGCGATTCTCATGCCTCAGCCTCCTGAGTAGCTGGGATTACAGGCACCTGCCACCATGCCCAGCTAATTTTTATATTTTTAGTAAAGAGGTTTTGACATGTTGGCCAGGCTGGTCTCAAACTCCTGGCCTCAAGAGATCTGCCCGCCTCGGCCTCCTACAGGCTGGGATTACAGGCGTGAGCCACCGCACCCGGCCAGAGAATGGTTTTTTAAACATTTTGCTCAGAGAGGACTTTCTGTCTGGAATGTGGTAGAGCTTGAGAAGTTTAGAGAATGAGATGAGCCATTATGGTGGCTGCAGAGTGAATGATGATTAGGTGCCTTTGGGGATTTGTATTTCTCTGTTTGGGGTTCTTTGCTGTGGAGAAGACACAGCCTGCAATTAACAGCCAGAACCAGCGTTGTCACGTCTGCACTGTCTGACCTGAGCGCCACCTTCCCACCCCTCGGGAGAGACTTAAGGCAACGGAGACGTTGACTGGCTCCCTAGTGCCTCCCACAGCTGGTGCATGGCCTCTGTTTCTTGTAGATGACCTTTCCAGCTCTGAAATTCTCCATTCTAAGTGACATCACCAGAACTTCTTGCTTATTAACGTGCACAGCATGCTTGTCTTCCGTGCATGTACATTACCGAATGTTTGGCCTGCCCTTCCCCTCTCGTGGGCTACGTCCTGGGTGGACGGGCATCTCTGTCTCCTGATCTAGCTCCTCCCATAGGAGCCAGGAGTGGCCCCTCCAGTCTCATACCTGGTCGATGCCTGGCTGGCTGTCACTGTACAGTGTGCGGGTCTCCACGTGCTCAGGCACCAGCCCCTGGGTGTGCAGGAGGTGGAGTGCAAGGCGTTCCTTCTTGGGCCCCAAACCATGAACAGTAGGGGTTTTGGGTTCTGGATTGGAGAGGAATGGAAGGAGGGGGTTGTGAGGTCATTAGCCTTCCTATCACCCTCCCCACCACAGCCTGGGTAGGAGTGAGGGGAGAGGGGTGGGCTGGCCTCTGGCTCCAGGGAGCTCTTTCCTTGTCCTCCCCTTTGTCCCGTGAGTCTGTAGCTCTTCCATTCTGGAGCCTCACAGCTTCCAGAGGCCTGTGTCTGTGCTTTCTGCTAGTGTTCTGCGCTGCTCACCAAAGCTTTGCAGCTTGAATTTTTTCCCGTTATAGAAAACAGCATCTTCCTCAGGACTGAACAGAGGCGGAGGCAGCCCTTTGCGCTTGGCATGGCGTTCTAGGAGGTAGCTTGGCGGCATCTGATCCCGCCATCTAAAGGGTCCTGACCTGGGGGATGTGAGAGGAAGAGGTCTGGAGGTTCGGGTCCTGAAGAACACCGTTGTGAGCTGCAGGTTGACCATGGGTGGAAGCGTGGGTGGAGACTGGGCAGGTCTGGGCCCAATTTCCTGCCCAGGATGCAGGCTTCTCCCAAGGGAGCTGTGGGCTCACTCTTCCACCCCACCTGACTCCCTTCCCCTGGACAGGCCCACGCTCACTGGCAGTAGGATTTGGCGAGCCCACAGTGAGCTCCAAAGCCAGACAGGAGTCGGTTTTCAAGGTCGATGACTGTGGTTCCTATCTTATCATCAGGTGAAAATAGGTCGAAGTCATAGAGCTGGATCTCTAGGTCCTTCTCCAGGGGGATGTTGCAGGTGAGTTCAAACATCCTAGGGGCGAGGTGTTGAAGACGGCAGAGGATGTGGGCAGTGTCTCTGTGCCCCCCTCCCTGACCGGTGTCTTGGCCCCGTAGGCCCCTTGTTTCATGGAGATTGTGGAGAGCAGAGCATGGGGTAAGCTGCCTTCTGCCAATCGCCATCCCCTGGTTATGGTTGAAAATGACTTTGGATAGGCCTGGTGTGGGGATCTCAGCTCTCCTCCCAGCCAGAGTGCCAAACGGTAGTACCGGCCCACCCATGCATTTGTCTTCTATCTGTTGAGCACCAGGGCGTGTAAGACGCTGTGGTAGGAACATGGAGGCTGGCCAGGAGTGCCAGCGTTCTGTGCCTTCTCCGGCCGACTTCCGGTGTGGAGGGGGTGGGAGTGGAGAAGGGGTCTTGGGGGTTGGGGCAGCTCACGTGCCGAAGATGGGATCCAGAGTGTTGGGCTGGTACATGTCCCGGCTGCCAAGCTCTGTCTTGCCCAGTTTCAGGATCACGTAAGGGTCACACTGGGGTCAGATACAAGTGGGGGAGGGATCGGAACTGGGGAGGGTGTCCAGGTGTGTCAGGGAGGGTGGGAGGGGGTGGAAACAAGCCCCTTGCACCACATGGCGCCTGCGGGGCGCTGGCGTTGTGTGTGTCGGTAGTTGGAGGGGCTCCCAGAGACGGGGTGAGGGGAGCGTGGGGGGCACCTGTGCGGGGCAGGTACTGTTCTTTACCAGGCCGTTGTAGTCCTGGGGCTGCAGGTTGATGGCTCGTACCACGTACACCCGCACGAGGCATGGCTGGGGGAAGTCCTCTCTCTCTGGCCAAGCCAAGAACTGGAGCGGGGGCTTCGGGGCGTCTGGATTCTCAGGAAAGGGGTAGACACGGAAGAGGCCCTGGCGGGGGAGGGGTGTTGGGGGTCCCAGCCTGCCAGTGCTGGCCAGCGCTGTAAAGCCCTCCGGGAGGCGCCCCAGCCCGTGTTCAGGAGAGAGAGGGTTGGGCTGAGGGTAGCAGGAACAGAAGGCCATGAGGACAGTGGAGGCAGGTACAGCACGGTGTCCAGCAGGGCCCACTATGTTGAATCAGGGTGTCGGCAAAGGACCCGCAGTCAGCAGGTGAGTTCCCCGTCTGTGCCGCTGTGGACTCACTCCACCCCATCTATCCCTTCACGTTCGGGCTTGTTCCCTGTGGCTCTGCGGCCTTGGGAGGCCAGCATAGGCCAGAGCGGGCAGGGGCAGGGGAGCGCTCCCTGAGTCCCTGTGGGGGCGAATCTCCTCCACTCCCACAACTTTCTCAAGCCCTGCTCCATCTTCACGATGAGCATATAGAGCCGGGGCTTTTATTTGTCTTCCGGGGACACAAGGGGCACAAGGAGACGGGGGCCACTAAGCTGGGGTGGACACACACCTTGAACTCCCCTACCACGGGGCTGTCCAACTTGGGCTGCTCCTGGTAGAGCTTGAAGGTCTGGCAGAAGTCCTGCAGGCCCTGGAAGGCTGGCACGGCCTCCAGCTCACAGTCGTACACCTGCAGGGGTGTGTGGAACCCTGGCTGTCAGGGACTGTTCCCGAGATCAGGAGATGGAGGGACCACCAGCTCCCAGGCCTCACTCCAAAGCCTCTGGCAGGCAGTGGCCCTGGGGCCAGCACTGTGCGCTTCAGACGGTGGCAGCTGGAGCTGTCTCTGGGAGACAGTGCGGGAACCCCCCCGACTGGAGGCTTCCCGGAGGAATCGAGGCTATAGCTCTGCTGGCCTCCTGCAGTGGGCGATTTGATTCCATCCCCCTTTCTTCCCTCCTTCAAACCTTGAGGGTGTGATAGTCTTTGTACTTGTACTTCAGGGACTTGTGCTCATCTGTGGCCCAGAACAGCTTGCTCCACCAGTCCACCTCATGCTCATACTCATCCTGGTGGAGAAGAGGATCGTTCTGGCCTTGGGTGGGGGCAGCCCCCGACCTCCCTGCACTGAACGGGGCTGCTCCTCGTTCCCTGGGGCTGAGCCTTCATCACCTCTGCTTTACTGGACTTGAACCAGAACTTTCTGGAGAGGTAGCCTAGGAACTGAAAAAGGAGAGGGTGAGCAAGGGAAAGCCATCGCTCGCTCATGGGCTCTGACTTCAGGGAGGAGAGAGGGGGTCGAGGCCAGGGTTCCCCTGGCGCCCTTGCCCTTGCCTTTCACATAGACCTTTTAATTCAGGGGTCTTTAGAAATGGGATCTAGGGAGCAAGAAGAAGGGGACACATAGTTCTTTGTCCTCATTGCCCATAGCTGCAGACTAGATTCTGGAAGGCGCTCAGAAATGCAGAACCTCAAGCCCCACCCTGACCTACTGAGAGTCTGCTTTTGGTGACAGTGTCTGGAGGACTCCTGCACATTCAAGTTTGACAAGTACCACTTTAGAGCAATAGTTGGGAACCCTGAAAGCACATTGGAATCACCTGTGTGGAAGGGGTTGGAAAAAATTTTGATGCCTGGGTCCTACCTCAGCGATTCTGATAGATCAGCGGCCTAGGCCTCAGGAGTTTTAAAACTCTCAGGTAAGGCTGTGTAACCCCAGCACTTTGGGAGGCCAAGGTGGGAGGATTGCTTGAGCTAAGGAGTTCAAGACCAGCCTGGGCAACATAGCAAGATCCCTGTCTCTATAATTTTTTTTTTTTTTTGAGACGGAGTCTCGCTCTGTCACCCAGGCTGGAGTGCAGTGGCGCGATCTCAGCTCACTGCAAGCTCTGCCTCCCGAGAATGCCTCACACCATTCTCCTGCCGCAGCTTCCTGAGTAGCTGGGACTACAGGTGCCCGCCACCATGCCTGGCTAATTTTTTGTGTTTTTAATAGAGACAGGGTTTCACCGTGTTAGCCAGGATGGTCTGGATCTCCTGACCTCGTGATCCATCCACCTCGGCCTCCCAAAGTGCTGGGATTAACAGGCGTGAGCCACCACGCCTGGCCTAAATTTTTTTTTTTTAAGTGGGGGATGGAAGTCTCACTCTGTTGCCCAGGCTGGAGTGCAGCGGTGGGATCTTGGTTCACTGCAACCTCCACCTCCAGGGTTCAAGCGATTCTTGTGCCTCAGCCTCCCGAGTAGCTGGAATTACAGGTATGCACCAGCATGCCCAGCTCATTTTTTTTTGTATTTTTTAGTAGAGATGGGGTTTCACCGTGTTGGCCAGGCCAGTCATGAACTCAGTGACCTTAAGTAATCTGCCTGCCTCAGCCTCCCAAAGTGCTGGGATTACAGGTGTGAGCCACTGCACCCAGCCAAAAAAAATGTTTTTAAAGATTTAAGGCCAAGCGCGGTGGCTCACGCCTGTAATTGCTGTACTTTGGGAGGCCAGGGCGGATGGATCACCTGAGATCAGGAGTTCAAGACCAGCCTGGCCAACATGATGAAACCCTGTATCTACTAAAAATACAAAAAATTAGCCAGGCATGGTGGCGTGCGCCTCTAATCCCAGCTACTCAGGAGGCTGAGACAGGAGAACTGCTTGAACCCGGGAGGTGGAGGTTGCAGTGAGCCGAGATCACACCACTGCACTCCGGCCTGGGCAACAAGAGCAAAACTCTCTCAAAAACAACAACAACAACAACAACAACAACAACAAAAAAGGATTCAAAAGTTAAAAAAAAAAAAAAAACTCTTAGGTGATTCTAATGTGCAGTCAGGCTGAGAGACCTACAGAGACCCTACAGGCTGAGGACCCTACAGTGCGAGGTGGGCCTCACAGTTGGGCACGGATATCTGGACTCTGTTTAATGAACACCCTTCCTTAGGCCCCAGGGTTATGCCCCGTCAGCAGTGTGGGAGAAGGTGGGCCTGCAGCCCTTACTTACGTCCTGGTGCTTCTTCCTAGACAGCCCTGTGCGGAGAGAGCGCAGGGACGAGTCTCAGATGGGGAGAGGGCTGAGGAGGAAGCGCCAACCCGTCGGGGAGCAGGGCCTACCCCACTCCCAGTGCGGGCTCGCATGTGAGGCCTGGGGAAGGGCACGGAGGAAGGGCCGTACTTGGAAGCTTTGGGTGCACGTAGTCCTGAGCCCAGGGGTCACAGAAGTAGGGCTGGAGGAAGTCGATGTTGGCCTGGCCCATCACGGTCTGTTGGCCGAAGGCCCAGTTGTCCACCACCTTCACCACGAGGGGCAGTGCGTAGGCCTCCTCTGTGGGCATGAGCTGCAGCCCCGAGGAGATGTGGGTAGTGTGAGACCCACAGAAGAAGAGGGCTGCCCAGCCCCTGCCCTAGGGCCTCTTACCACTATGAGGACTAGGACAGACTCGGACTCGGGGAAGTTGGGGTTCGTCTGAAAGTCTCTGATGGGTTCTGTCCTCAGGGACTCTTCCCCGAATTCCACCAGGAGCTGGGGGGAGCTCGCCTTCTTCATGTTCCGAAGGCCCCAGGCCAGGATCTACCAGAACCAAGAAGGAGGGCAGGACAAGGGGCAGGCAGCACCTCTGTCATGGGGTCCTGGCCAGAGAAGGGGGCTGAGAGGCAATAGCGGTGCAGCAGGAGCTGCAGGGCCAGGGAATGGGGCTGCAGAGGAGCCAGTGTCCGAAGGCGCACAAGGACAGGCTTCTCCGTCCTGTGAGGGATCAGTGCGTGTCCTGGGGCTGGGACGCTGTCCCCCGACCCATGACGGAGGTGCCCTCCGGCCACTGGCTGCATCCTCCACTGACCTCCATAGCCCGCAGGCATTGCCCCTCCTCACCGCTGCCTTGTCTGGCCTCATCAGTTCTCAGGTGTAAGTTCCTGAGGCCGACTGCCTCTGAGGCCCGAAGAAGCAGGAAGTGCCTGAATTTCTCCGGGCCCCTATGCTGTCCAGCTCACTGAGGACCCCGTGGCCATTCGGTGACCTGGCACCCTGCCAGGACATAGCTGCACCCTGACTCATGAGGCCTCCTTGGGGCCCAAAGCGGGAACCAGCCAAGTTGCCTGATCTCGGGGAAGCCGTCAGTCCCAGAGGCCTGACCATCTTGTGCTCTTTGCCACGTCTGCGGCAGGGCACACGCGTTCTGAAGGAGGACCCCCATGCTACTCTCAGAGGTGAGGCGAGCAGCATCCTGGCATTTGCAGTCAGACAGCATTTGCTGTCACGTAGTCCCTGCGTCACTGTGCATGGAATGTGTTGTCTCTTGGAGCCTCTATTTCCTTCTCTGCAAAGTAGTTCCTGCTGCGCAGGGGCAGCGTGAGTCCGAAATGTGATCACGCACGCTACAGCCCTGTGCCCACTCCCCACTGCAGAGGTTTGTGGTAAAATGATTTCCAGTGTTACACCAGAACCTCTTCATTTCTCTCCTGTCTCCCTCCACCTCCCAGGTAGTCTTTTTCGGGGTGCGAGCTTTGGATCCGGTAGTCAGAAAGCTGCAGCGCACTCCAGACCACCCCCGTCTGCCCTGCCCACCATCCCCATCCCACGTCGCCAGCACCTCAATGGCCATCCTCTTTATCGTGGGCTGGATGCTCTTGGGGAGTGTGTACGCCCCATTCTTCCAGGGAACGCTTAAGATAGGCAGCTGCTTCTCACCAAGCTTCTGGGGGAGGGCAGGGAGCATGAGGTCCTCTGGGCTGGTCCTACTGCCCTCACCCCCACCTCAAGCAGGTCCCTCAGAGGCCCCACCGAGCCCAGAGCCCCATGGGTAGGGGCTGGCAGGGGGACTTAGGGGAGAGGCTGGGCAGGCCAGCGTCACCAAGCCCACAGCTCTGGATCCTGGGCCCCAGGCGTTTCCTGACAGGGTGGAGTTGGCCCCCGCTGGCTGGGGATGGGACGGGGACAGGCACTGAGCGCCACACTTCCCGGCCAGGCCCTCTCGATACCTCAGTCTGGAGGATCAGCTCACAGGATGCCAAGATCTCGCCCTCTTCCTTCCCCAGCTCCTTCATAAGGGGGTGCCACCTCATGGGGGGCAGGATCCGGTCCTGGAGATCCAGCCAGACCACTGGGGGCCACATGCTTCGTCCCCACAAGCTCTCCTTGCCCTGGAGGGGAGAAGTTCACAAAACACGGAGACCACGCTGGCAGGGCCCAGCTCTGCCCGGGCTTCTCAAGGCAAGGGCGACAGCTGGCAGACGAATTTCCACGGTGCTCTCTGCACGTCAGGCCGCATGGGAGAAATTTCCATACACTTTCCTCTAAAATAAATCCCCTCAGCCACTCTGCAAGGTAGGCCCTCTTCCTCCTGCTCTGCCCAGCCCACCTTACCCAGGAGTCGCGCTGCCACAGCTCTAGCACCACGAGCGGTGGGCTCTCTTTGGTGTCCTGCGGGTTCTCGTACAGAAGGAGGTGCTGGAAGATGAGTGTCTGGGCCCATGTGGGGCCTGCAGAGCTCCTCAGGGTTTGGGTGCACTGGCTGTGGTTCAGGAAGACCACCCGAATGAAGGGCCCTGGAGGGGTGGAGGACGAGGGAGCAGTGTCTTGAGCTGGGAAGAGGCGCTTTCCTGTCTTCTGCTGCTGCAGCCGCTGGACCCAGTGGGGCCAGGGAGGGTCAGGCAGGGCAGCCACTGAGGCCTCCCAGGGCCCCGTCAGAGTCAGCTGCAGAGCACCGGGGTCTGTCACCAGAGGCCAGGCATCATCTGGTCCCATCCACGAGTTCTGTGTGCCTCCCAGGGTTGAGGCCTGGGCCTCACAGAGATGGAGGGCAGGGGCTCCTCTGGAGGAGTTCTAGGGAGGAGGTCACAGGGCAACATACTGAGAGCCTGTCTGTACAAAAGAAATTATTTTTTTGAGACAGAGTCTCACTCTCTCGCCCAGGATGGAGTGCAGTAGCACAATCTCGGCTCACTGCAACCTCTGCCTCCCAGGTTCAAGTGATTCTCCTGCCTCAGCCTCCCAAATAGCTGGGATTACAGGCGCGCGCCACCATGCCCGGCTAATTTTTGTATTTTTAGGAGAGACGGGGTTTCACCATGTTGGCCAGGCTGGTCTTGAACTCCTGACCTCGTGATCTGCCCACCTCGGCCTCCCAGAGCGTGGGGATTACAGGTGTGAGCCACCGCGCCCGGCTCTGTGGCTGCTCTTTCATGGCAGTGGCAAGTGGCCTGCATCAGGGAGCACCACAGGGGCCTCTCGATGTGGGTGGTGAAGCCCAAGGGATACAACTCCCAGCAGACATCCTTGGAGCCCTGCCACCTACTGTACCCGCTCCCTACAAACAGCACTGAGGACCAGGCTGGAGCACGTGGCTTGTCTCCTGAAACTCTCACTGGGGCATCCTCACAGGACCAAGGACAGGCCCTCCCCACAGGCCCTCTCGGCCCCTACTGTCCAAACAGAGTGGCACATGGTTCCCAAGCATACTGCCCTCTCTCTTGCCCTCATGCCCCACCAGCACTGCCAGGCAGCTCCTCTTCCATGCCCAGCTAGGTGGCCACCACTGGGATGGAGCCCCCTCAGCTCCCGCTTCTAATTCCACAGCACCGGGGTCGCGCCTCAAGAGCGGGCCTGCCTCGAAGTCTTGGTTTTGTGTCTTTTCCCCAAACCAGCACCATGAGCTGACTGGGAGACGGGTCTGCATGTCCGTCACCCTCATCCATGCCTCTGTCTTTACACTGCTGAGCAGCTGTGACACCAGGACCCAGGGACAAGGCTCGCAGCCGGTGAGGGGCCAGCGGGCAGGGGCCCTGGCTGGGACTGCAAGCAGGAACAGGACCCTGCTCTCCTCCCTGAGGCCTCGTCCTCAGCTGGGGACACGGCTGCCTGCCACCTACCTTGGAATGTCAGGATCTGATTGGACACCAGGTTCCGGGCCTGGTAGATGTAGCAGAAGAGCTGGTAGTAGTGGGGCTCTGGGGAAAGAGGAGCCATGCCTGTCACCTCCCCAGGACTCCAGCGGCTCCCTCTGGCTGCCCCCACCGCTTCCCCACCCCCTGCCCTGGGCACTGGCCTCTGGGGCCATTCAGGCAGCCTCCTGAGCCAGCACTTACTGTTAAAGGTGCAGTAGATGAAGGGCATGTTGGGGGGCCGGGCGTCCTGCCTCTGGGGGTCCCTGAACTGTCTGTCCAGACCCCACGGCCATGGCTTGCTCTCCTCTTCCTTCCCAGCTCGGTGTTTCAGATCCATGGCCTGTAGCCAGGACAGTCCCCCCTGAGGCCCTCAGGTGCTGCTCCTGTGTCCTCTAGCCCAGGCCCGGTCGCCCTCCTCCCGCACGCTGCCACCCTCGCCAGCCTGAGGCGCAGAGGCCCTTCCTCCACCATGGGCGCCCCAGCCGCGCCAGGCCCTGGCCTCTCTGGGAGGGGGTTGCAGGCAGGCGCCCCCAGCCTGCGAGGCTTTACCAAGGAGCCCTCCAGGAGGAAGACGGGCGCGACGCCCTTGTCCTTGTCGGGCACCAGCCTGCGGCGCCAGCAGCGGCGGCGGAAGCGGCTCCGGGGCTGAGGGTGGAGGTGGAACTTGGAGCCGAAGGCGTCGTACTCCCAGCCGTCCTCCTCGCCGTCGGCCGGGCCCTGCGGTGGGGAGGAGCGCAGGGCTGTGTTCCCGCAGCCGCGAAGGGGGCTCTGCCCGCAGCCCCCGCCAGGGCCCCCGCGGACGCCTCACCAGCTGCAGGAAGGAGACGGTCTCCTGCTCGCGGCTCAGCTCCCCGCGGTTCCGGAAGCGCACGCGCGCCCAGCGCCGCCGGCGGCACGAGTGGTAGGTCTTCTCCACCGGGCTCCAGACCTGGGGCAGGCCCGAGGGGGGGATGCCCACGCCATACTCCCAGCCTGCGGCGGGGGACCACGGCCCTGAGTCCGCAGGTGCCCGCGGGTTGGGAGGACCGGACAGGCCCCGGAGACAGGCCCTAGAGGGGCATGACTTCCCTCGCAGCCCGGCCTCTTGCCCTGAGCTGTGGAGAGCAGAGTGGCTACACTGTGTCACCTGAATGGCCTGGGACCAGCTGCCCAACTTACAAATGAGGCAGGCGAGGCTCAGAGAAGTCCTGTGGCTCGCGCAAGGCCACACAGCCCATAGGCAGCAAAGCTTGCATCTTGAGCCCGGGCCTTGAGACTTGCAGCCCTGGAGCTGCTGTGGGTGAATTCAGCCGCCACGTGACAGCCTCCTGGTCACCAGCATCTGCCAGGCCTTGCTCTGGGCCAGGCTTCAGGACACACCGAGGGCCTGTGCTGTCTTAAAACTGGGGCCCATGCGTAGGGAAACGCTGGAGATCCCGCTCTGGAGGCTAGGGGGCCACAGGAATTGAGGCCTATCCCACTGAGGGCTTGGCTGCTCTGATCCCACCCTGCTGGCTGCCGTGATTTTGAGGCCCTGGTCTCTCCCGATCCCAACCCTGACCAAAGGACTGACCCTTACTGTCCACTGCGTGGTTCAGCTCCACCACCCAGTCCTTCTTAAAGTGCCAGCCTTGGGGGCACTTCACGTTCTCCCGGGCCTCCGTGGGCTGTCCGTTCTGCAGGTGGACAGAGAGGGCGAGCAAGGGGCACATGAGCTGGGAGAAGGCCGCCCTCCCTCCCTCTTCCCACACCTGTGTGCGTGCCTGCCGTGGCCGCAGCAGCCTCTCACTCCAGGCCAGACCATGCTTGCCACACGTCATGCCACCAGAGCCATCAGAATACGCTCCAAGGACCTGCCTCTCTGTGCTGGAAACTGCTCCTCCTTATTGTAAAGGGGAGACTAGCATGCTTTTGAGATCAGTTAAACCCACACTGCCCAGTACAGTAGCCACCAGCCGCCTGGGGCTACTCTAGCTTAAATGAGTTAAAATTCAAAGTTTTGTTCCTTCGTCTCACTAGTGCCCCATTTTAAGCGCTCAGTGGCCACACATGCAGATATGGAAGATTTCCATCATCACGGAGAGATCTACTGGACAGTGCCGGGTTAGCCCATCCCAAGCAGATTCTCTCCTTCGGTGTCAGCAGTACCTTTGAAGAAGTCTAGGAGAAACCACTGCTCCCTTTTGTTGTTTCTCAGTCTTATTTAAGGTATTTCTACAAACCCCTCACCCCGTCAGTGCTGAGAGCCTGCGGGCTGGTGTGCTCACCCAGGGCCCCACGCATAGTGCAGGGCATAGGGCTCAGACCCTTTCCACTGGGACCCCCAGCTTCCAAGGCGCCCCGCCTGGTGGCCTTGCTTGCCCCCCAACCCCTGAGGCAGCTTCGGCCTTACTCACCACGTCTGTGTTTGGGATGGCGGCAGGCCCCCAGGCGCCTCTGATGTCGCGGCCCTGGTTCTCATATACCTCCTCCAGCACCTGGCTCTTGTTGATGTCTATGTCCAGGAGGAGTCTGGGGGTAGTGAGACCCCAAGTTCCCAGCACACCTCCCCGAGCAGCCCCTGGGGCCGTCCTCTGCTGGCCAAGCGTTCCCATACCTGGCATCCCCATCTGCTCTGGGCAGGACAGGGCCAGCAGGGCCTGGCATGCAGGACAGGGTGGTGGGCAGGGCACTTGGCCTGGTGCACCTCGGCCCTCTGGCACCAGGCTTAGGGGCTGGGTACCCACCTTTCTGGGCTGACGTGGACTGGCCCTCCCAGGTGAAAAGTGTCCCCTCCGGTGGGGCCTGCCCCCTCCTTACCTCCTCTGAGGTTCCACTGTCCAGCTGTCCTGCCAGTGCCATCCCAGGGGTGGCTGGAAATCCGTCATGGGGAGGGTCTTGTTCCCCATGACATCTGAGAAGTTGGGGCAGCGATACAGCCCCTGCTGCCCCCACTGGTCTTTATACTTGGCCTGATTCTCATACTAGGGGAGGGAAGCTTGTCAGGGCGGCCGCCTCCTCCAGCACAAAGTGCAGGGACATGGGCCTCCCCGGACCCCCTGACTCTGGGCTGCAGGGGCATCCTAAAACTGTGGCAGCCAGGCAAGAAAGGGCCATGTCCCCATTGCACAGGTGAGGGCACTGAGGCTTAGAGGTCAGCCCTGCCCTGGGTCACTCAGCTGGCAGAGTGGAGTGGATGCTGCATGTTTGGACAGTGATATCATAAGACATCTATGTAGTGCTTGGAGGCACAGACGTGGAGAGAGGTCTGGGTTGAAGGAGAGGGAGCAGGGCCTGTGTGCTCAGCGGGGAGAGTGTGGATGAAAAGGCCCAGAGGCAGCAACGGTGGTCAAATGGTGCAGGAGGGCTGGGCTCCCCAGGGTCTGCAGTGACGAGAGAGCAGGCAGCTGCCATCAAAGGCACCGGCCCAGTCCTCTGGTGCCTGCTGAGCATACAGGCCCTGCTCCCTACCCCTCACCCTGAACCCCTTTCTGCCTCTGCACCTCCAAGACCTACAGAGCTGGTTAGACATATTATAATGTATCCATCTACACATGCAACTTAGACACTGCAAACATGTTTTAATTCAGTAAGTTAAAAAGCCTGACACTCGGCCAGGCGCAGTGGCTCAAGCCTGTAATCCCAGCACTTTGGGAGGCCAAGACGGGCGGATCACGAGGTCAGGAGAGCGAGACCATCCTGGCTAACACGGTGAAACCCCGTCTCTACTAAAAAATACAAAAAATTAGCCGGGCGAGGTGCCGGGCGCCTGTAGTCCCAGCTACTCGGGAGGCTGAGGCAGGAGAATGGCATAAACCCGGGAGGCGGAGCTTGCAGTGAGCTGAGATCCGGCCACTGTACTCCAGCCTGGGCGACAGAGCGAGACTCCGTCTCAAAAACAAAAAAAATTTAAAAAAATAAAAAAAATAAAAATAAAATAAAATTTAAAAAAAAGCCTGACACTCAAACCTTATTTCCCCTCTGCTGTTCACATGGCTTCCTGAGCCATGTCCTCCCTCAGGGAGCCCAGGACATCTCCCCTCCTCTGGTTCCAGAGCAGTCCCTGGCCGCTGCCCACCCACTCCCCGGGTTGATGGCTCTGTGGGCAGATGCCTCAGATCCTGCTCCTCTACCGTGCTAGGCCTTCACCTCCTGGGACCCTGCTGGGGCCTGCAGGGGTCCCGGGCTGCCCTGTTGGTGATGGGTGAGGCCCCTGCAAGTCAGAGCCTTGCTCACTTCATGTGCTGTTGATGAACTAGGAGAAAGCTCGGAATAAACCTGCATCAGGGAGAGGGGGATCAGGCTCTGGAGGCCACTTAGTTGCCCCCTTTGTCTCCACACGTGTGTGGAGGATCAACAAGAGACCAGAGCTGGCAGCGTCCAAGATTGCTTTAGTCTCTGCCTCCTCCATCAGACTCTCTCCTCGCCCTCAGTTTCAGGAATTTTTTCTCCCTCTTCAGTGCAGGGCTACTGCAGCTTCACCCTCCCTCATCACGCGACATGCCCTGCAGGGAGGCCATCTCTTCCCGGCCAGGCCACCCCACCCCCACCCCTGCATGCCTGCCCTGGCCTTGGGCTGCCGCTCGCCACTCACCGTCTCGGCGTACACCGCCATGTCACCCTGGCAGAGAAGCTGCAGGTCCTTGCTGTCTGTGACATTGCCAAGCCACATGCAGACCCGGAGGTGAGCTGGGAGCACATCCTTCTGTCCTTCACCCTCTGGGTACTGAGTCAGAGGCCGATCGGTCCCATAGGGGCACTAAACACCCTGAACGCCACCCCAGCCACCCTCTGAGTGGGCTGTGCCTGCCCCTTCCCCCCGAGCCCTGGGAGCGGGGCCCTCACTGAGCTGAGTGCTGGAGCCATAAGTGAATGGCATGGAGTTCTGTTCTGCCCTGCAGAGCAGGGTGGCTCCACCTTGGCAGCCATGAAGCAGAGAGGCTGGGAGTGCCTCGCAGAGGGAGTAGCAGGGACGTTGATATGGGACTGACGGACGTGCCTTGTGAGTTTGTTATGGGCCGGCACTGTGCCAGTTGCCCCGTGTGCATCGTAGGCCTGGATCCTCACAGCCCACCACGAAGAGGGTATGGTGATTGCCAGGCCCATTCTACAGAGCAGCACACTGAGGGCTGGGCATGGTCAGGAGTTGGCCTAGGGCCACACAGAGCCAGGATTCATGTCTCAGGGGCCCTTGCAGGATGCAAAGGACTCTGGTGGGCATGGAAGGAGCTTTGCACATTGGTGGAGAGGGCAAAGGGCAGGTACAGTTGGGGCCAGGGAAAGCCCACAGTGTCCTCACTGTTGAGAGTATGGGCGAGAGAGAATGGATACAGGCACAGGGGCCAGGGGCCAGGCCACAAGGCGGCACCTTCTCCAGGAGGCAGCGGGGAGCCAGGGAGTCTCTGATGGGGGAAGGGAGTGGCCCCCACGTCCCCCCGGGAGGATCAGAAGCAGGGAGGCTACTGTCACGGCCAGGAGTGAGGGTGGCAGTCCGGGTGTTTAGTCTTATTTATAGCTTGCATCTGATATGATGGGCTGGTGCCAAATCTTACAGACATTCAATATTTTGGAGATCACCCTGTCATGGTCCAGGGAAGAGATGACAAGGGGCTGGACCAAGTGGCGGCCATGAGGATGATGAAGGAGGTGGATTTGTTTTCTGGTTTTGTTTCATTGTTTTTTTTTTTTTTTTGAGATGGAGTCTCGCTCTGTCACCCAGGCTGGAGCAGCGTCATGATCTCGGCTCACTGCAACCTCCGTCTCCCAGGTTCAAGCGATTCTCCTGCCTCAGCCTCCCGTGTAACTGGGATTACAGGCAAGCGCCACCATGCCCGGCTAATTTTTGGTATTTTTAGTGGAGACGGGATTTCACCATGTTGGTCAGGCTGGGTCTTGAATTCCTGACCTCAGATGATCCACCCGCCTCAGCCTCCCAAAGTGCTGGGATTACCTGTGAGCCACCGCGCTCACGAGGAGGTGGATTTGGGGAACATTTATGAGGTACATGGACTTGGCATCACCCAACATGCTGGCAGCCACAGACCCCTCTCTTCCTCTGGGGACAGCTTCAACCCCATTCCACCTGGTTAAGGAACCAGGGAAAGAAGCCCCATAGGGGCTGCCCTGCAAGTTCAGGGGCTCCCCCGGGGGCATTTCTCGGCCCTGTCCTCCCTTGAGGACCCCTTGATTCCCACCTGGAGGAGGAGTGTCTGTATCTTCCCACAGAGCCTGCCGGAGTGCAGGGCCCCTGCCCGGGAGAAGAGGACGGAGTGGGCAGGCACCTGTGCGTAGGCCACTCGCTGCTCCTTGGCCACCAGCCAAATCATCACGTCAGGAAGGCCCATCTGGGGCTGCCAAGGTGGGAGAACGTCAGGCCCTGCGTGGCCGGCTCCCAGCCCTGCTCCAGGCCGGTGTGTGCAGCACCCACCTCAGGGAGCACAGCGTTGAGGCGGTACAGCCAGTCCTCCGCTGTGGCCACCATGTCCCTGGGCATGGCTTGCTTGGCCTTTTGGGCCAGTTCCTGCAGGAGGAGGCTGCGGAGCTGCCACCTCTTCCTGTCCAGGTTGGTGGCTTTGGGCTGGTCGGTCATGCAGGGCAGAGGGCGCCTGTGGCCAGGACAGGGTAGCAGGGGCTGGACCTCTCTACTGCCTCCCAGTGTCACCAGAGCCCTGCCTTAGGCCAGCGTGCCCCTCCTGACCTCAACATCCTGCCCCCATCTGCTGCTGGCCTGGCCCGGGAGCCCTTCCCACCGCTCCGTAGGAAGCCTGCTCGCTGTGCGTCCAGCCCTCTACCATGGCCTGCAGGGAGGTGGGGCTGTGCGGGCTTGTCTGCAGGAAGGGGACAGGTTGACTCGGTAGGAGCCTCGGGCGTGGGTGTGGGGCAGCAGGGACCATTCTGATGGGGCGGTCAGGGGGCCTGAATGGGAAGGGAGAAGTGACTCTTGGGGTTTCCTGCTGGGGAGAGGTCTGAGCAGTGCTCCTCCCCAAGGAGGGTGGGGGCAGGTGTTCGGGGCACTGCTCTGAGCCCCCAGGCCTGGATCTGGCTCAGCTCCAGGCCAGCTGTACCCCAGAGTGCCCCTACTCCTACTTGCAGTCCTCCACCAGCTCCCTCAGCAGTTTCTCCCACTGGCAGAGGAGAGCTGGGTCCTTCGGATTCCGCGTGGATTTCAGGGTGTCCAGGTTGGCTTTCTGCCCAGCAGGAGAGAAACGGTAAGAGAGCCCGCCTCAGCATGGAGCCCAGCTGGACAGGCCACAGGGCTGATTGGCCCAAGATGTTTCCAGCCACGACCTTGGGAACTTTGAGGGATAACTTGGTGATATCAGTTCAAGGTCGTCCACAACTCCGAGGCTAGGACCCCCCCACATCCTTCCTGCTACCCAACAGAAGAAACAGGTGGCAAGAAGCTGGGACAGGGTAAGACTGGGAAGCAGTGCAGAGCACTGACCTCCACACAGGCGTGAGAAAGTCATGCCGGAGGTCCCAGCCCCAGGTGGCTCCCGAGAACTACACTCCCGACAGCCACCTGAGACTCTTTGTGATCTCACTCCTTCCAGCTTCCATGGTCGGATCTTCATGTCACCTCCATGCCTCCCCCCGACCCTGCCGAACTTCAAAAACCAGCACATTGCTGTGGCTTTGCATGTTATTCCCTTCTACCCCCACCCAGCCCCCAACAAACTCCTATGCATTCTTCAAAACCCTGCTGATGTGTCATCTCTTTTTTTTTTTTTTTTTTTTTGAGACAGAGTCTCACTCTGTCGCCCAGGCTGGAGTTCCGTGGCCGGATCTCAGCTCACTGCAAGCTCCGCCTCCCGGGTTCACGCCATTCTCCTGCCTCAGCCTCCCGAGTAGCTGGGACTACAGACGCCCGCCACCTCGCCCGGCTAGTGTGTTTTTTTTTGTATTTTTAGTAGAGACGGGGTTTCACCGTGTTAGCCAGGATGGTCTCAATCTCCTGACCTCGTGATCCGCCCGTCTCAGCCTCCCAAAGTGCTGGGATTACAGGCGTGAGCCACCGCGCCCGGCCTAATGTGTCATCTCTTTTGTGCACACCTCCTCTGACTATCTTCTCTTCCTCTCCTCTCCCCACCTTCTCTCTCTGACCCTTTAGCACCTGGTACCTGCATCTCCATCATAGCCCTAGTTGCACTACACAGTCACTGCCCGCATGTCCAGCTTCCCTAGACGGTGAGGACAGGGGCTGTGTTTAATCATCCTTGTGTCTTCAGTGCATAGTCCTGCTTCTGGCACGTTCTTCTCAACAGTGTGGAATGAATGCGTGAATGAGCTGTGTGACCAGTTTCCTGCCACTGTGATGCAGTTTCCCAAGTCTCCCAGCCACACTCTGAACCCTTCCCAGCATCAGCTCCCGCACCACTCACCAGGCGGTCCCGAGTGAAGTGGAGGAGGTTGAGGCAGTTCATGCGGAAGCTGACGTCCTCCCAGTTGGAGGTCACGGCCACGACAGGCTTGATGTTGTACCAGGGCACATAATGGTAGATGTTCCCTGAGACACAGAGACACATGGAGGGATGGGGTGTCTGGGGGATTCTGGGAGGTCTCTTCTCACTGTGTTCTCTCGAGGACCTCTCTGGACCACTTCACCCTCAAAGATGCGATTTGCTAACAATGCTAACTGGAGCCCTCCAGCTGGGAGGCTGGGCTGGAGCCTGAGAATGTGAGAATGTGTGCACTTTGACCTTTCATTGTCACATGGTCTTCTAGAGTCCCCAGTTTACAGTGGGGAAATCCATGCTAGCAATGGGAGGCAGTTTCCCTGAGGTGGCATAGCCAGGCGGTCAAAACGCAGGCGCCTAGCTCCAGAGCCCTGGGTTTTGAACCTCAAGCGAGATGCCAGGAGTAGGGGCACGGGGCACGACTCCGGGTGGGACGGGGGCAGGGGGACACGTATAGATAAACACCACTGATGGGTGCCACCGACTGGGTTCCCTCGCCATGTTCCTTGTTGAAATGAGGGGGAAGCAAGACCAAACGTAAAGGATTCTGAACCACACTGCCGCCGAGTCGGCCTCAGAGGCAGAAATCCACAGAAAACGAACATGTAACCTGCAGAAAATCTGTGAGGCCAGCGAAAGCCAAAGCGGACTTTTGTTCTCCAAATTTCTGGAAACTTCTTGGAGAACTTGTGCTTTTCTTTGGCAACTGCAGGAGGAACGGGGGGCAGAAGAGAAAGCCTAGGGCTGACCGGGGCAGGCAGTCTAACAGGGACCGACGTGCTACAGACTGGCTGTGCCCCCCACGGAAAGGCGTACTCAAGTCCTAAACCCCAGGACCTCGGAATGTGGCCTTATTTGGAGAAGGGGTGTCTTTGCAGATGTAATGAGTTAGGATGAGCAGGTGGGCCCTTAATGACTGGTGTCTTTGTAAGAAGGGAGACAGAGAGACGGCAGTTGAGTGAGGACAGACACCGGGAGACACCGTGTGAGGGCGGAGGCGGAGACTGGCAGGACGCAGCTGCCAGCCCGGGAACACCAGGAGGGAGCCGTGGCCAGATTCTCCCTCAGAGCCCTCGGCGGGGATCAACACGGACACCCTGACTTTGAACTTCTGACCTCCAGACCCGTGAAAGAATGAGTTTCTGTTGTCTAAAACCACCTGGTTTGTAGGGCTTTGTTATGGCAGTAATACACCGTGCAGAGCACGAGCTCCAAACCCTAAGCCGTTGGGGCCGGGGGAATGAGAACTGACCCATCACGCGGGAGGGGACAGCGGGGAAGCTTGCCTGTCTCCAGTGTGGCTCTCTGGGTGGAGGGGAAGAAAATCTTCCCCAAAATTTGTAGCAAGTGGGGCCTCACGGACATTGGCATTCAGTGCTCATGTTATCTCTGTAGCCTGAAGAGTGTCCAACAAAAAATTTAATTTAAAGTGGTCTCAAGTAGATTGTTACCAGCCTGGGTAACATAGCGAGACCCTGTCTCTAATTAGCCAACCAGGGTGGCTCACACCTGTAGTCCTAGCTACTCAGGAGGCTGGGGTGGGCTTGAGCCCAGGAGTTTGAGGCTATGATGAACCGTGATCATGCCGCGGCACTGCAGCCTGGGTGACGGAGTGAGACTGTGTCTCAACCAATCGATAAAATAAAGTGGTCATAAGTAAATAAAAATACAGTGGTCCCTGCTTGGCAGTGCCCCAGGTAGCTGGAAGAAGCAACGTTACCCAGACCTCAGAGAACGCCCACAAAGTTCCAAGAAAGTGAGCAGCTGAGAACCAGTGTACACGCTCCTAACCCAGCAACTCCACTCCTAGGTATACACCCAAGAGAAGGGCTGTACAGCATCATTGAGACACACGGAGAACAATGTTCATGGCAGCTCTCATCACAACAGCCAAAAGTTGGAAACAGCCAAAATAGCTCTCAAAAAATCTCTTGGCCAGGCGCAGTGGCTCATGCCTGTAATCCCAGCACTTTGGGAGGCCGAGGCGGGAGGATCACCTGAGGTCTGGAGTTTGAGACCACCCTGCCCAACATGGCGAAACTCTGTCTCTACTAAAAATATGACAAAAAGAATTAGCCTAGTGTGGTGGTGGGCAGCTGTAATCCCAGCTACCTGGGAGGCTGAGGCAGGAGAATCACTTGAACCTAGGAGGCGGAGGTTGCAGTGAGCTGAGATTGCACCACTGCACTCCAGCCTGGGGCAACAGAGTAGGACCCCATCTTGAAACAACAACAAAAAAGAGGCCAGCACAGTGAGCTTCATCCTTATAATGCCGCACTTTGGGAGCCAAGGCGGGTGTGGATTCACCTGAGGTTAGGAGTCTCAAGACAGCGCTTCACCATGGTGATAACGCCCATCTCTATAAAAATAAGACGAAATAGTCGGGAATTGGTGCGTGGGTGCTGTAATCCCAGGCTAACTTTGAGGCTGAGGCCCAAGAGAGACATCACTTGAAGCCCAAGAGGTGGAGGGATGTAGTGAGCCCGACGATACGCCAAGCTGCACTGCCAGCCCCTGGGCACAGACGGCAGACCTCCGTGCTCAATAACATAAAGTACAACTAAATAACATAAATAATAACTAATCTTCAGCCAGGGCGTGGTGGCTCAAGCCCTGTAATCCAGCACTTGGGAGGCCCGAATCGGGGAGATACGAGGTCAGGAGATCTCGAGACTATCACTGGCTAACACGGTGAACCCGTCTCTTAAAAATACAAAAAGAACTAGGCCGGCAGAAGTGTGCAGCGGCGTGAGTCCCAGCTAGCTACGAGGCTTGAGGCAGGAGAATGGCGTGAACCACGCCGGAGGCCGGAAAGCTTCGCAGTGAGCCGAGATCAGCACCAGCTGCATCTCCAAGCCTGGGGACGAGAGGCAAGACTCCGTTCTCAAAAAAGAATGAAAAAAAATCTCTCAAGAAATTCTCTTTCAGTAGTAGAAGGAATAAATAAATTATGCTACACTTTACACAATAGACATTATACACAGCCAGTCAGTGGAATTGAGGCCTATGACCACCTATTGTCAATCTGATCGTGTGACACCACTGCACAACAGAACAGTGAGCAAAAGAAACCAATTACAAAATATACGGGGACGATATTTTTATATAATAACAGACAATTCATTAGTTTTTTAAACGAGGGCAGGCCGACGCTCCATGCGCTGTTGTGCCTGCTAATCCCCAGTGCTTTGGGAAGCTGGAGGCCAGGAGTTCAGGCTTGTCTCAGTGGACTATCGGTCATGCCATGGAGGAGGAGTGCTGGTGGCTGAGCAACGTGTTTTGAAGCTGCAAATGTACTGCGTTGCTCGATACTTTGGCTCCCTTTCGATCAAAGATGGATCTACAGGGCCTTGGTAGGGGTGGGTGTGGGCAACACGGGCCTCTGAAGTGCTCCCTGGCTCCATGATCTGAAGTGCTATTACAAGGGCATGTTTGCTTTGTGATAATTCCACTGAGCTTGACACTTCCCGATTTGTGTACTTTTCCATAAGTATGTTGTCCTACTTGAATTGAAAACGTTTCACTTAAATTAAAAATAGTGGGACAAAAAAAACCCCCAAATCCGGCCCGGCCGCGGTGGTCTCCAAAGCTGTAATCCAGCACTCTTGGGACGGCCGAGACAGGGCCGGGCATCACGAAGGCCAGGAGATCGAGACCATCCTGGTTACACGTGAAACGCCCCGTGTTATTAAGGAAATACAAAAAATAATAGCCAGGCGCCGAGGTGGCGGCGCCTGTAGTCCCAAGCTACTCGGCGAGGGCTGAGAGCCAAGAATGCCGCGTGAACCGCGGGAGGCGGGAGTGTGCAGTGAGTGAGATCCGGCCCACTGCACTCCAAGCCTGGCGCGACCAAGACGCGAGACTCGTTCCAAAAAAAAAAAACAACCAAATCAGTAACGTAAAATACGTGTGCGTCGAAGGATGGGAAAAATGCTAAGGGAGAAAGCAGGGAAGGGAGAAGGGGAGATGCTGAGTAATTTAAATAGAAGTCAACCTAAGACTTTCTACGAACATCTAAGGAAAATCAGCTAGAATGTAGCCCACGAAGAGAGGAACAATGATGAAAAATATGGAAGGGGCCGGGCGCGGTGCTCAAGACCTGTAAAAATCCCAAGCACTTGGGAGGCCAAGACGGCGGATCAGAGGTCAGGAGATCGAAGACCATGCCTGGCTACACATGGTGAAAAACCCCGTCTCTACTTAAAAAATACAAAAAACTAAGCCGGGCAGAGGAGGCGGGCGCCTAGTCCAGCTACCTCGGGAACTGGAGGCAGGAGAATGGCCCGTGAACCTGGGAG